ATTCTGTAACATCGATTCAACGGAAATAAAAATATTAGGACATTCATTTTCAAATTCACTATTACTAGTACTATTGCACTTATCAGATGAGGTATTGGAACAATCATTCACATCCGTCTCTTTAGGAATATCATTACCAGCATCCACCTTAACGGGTTCTATTTCAGTTTCGGGTATAGTAGGCAAAATCGGGTTGGAAAGGTTCGCAACCATTTCAAGTGGCGATTGGTTCTCAGAAGCAGCAAAATTCCCAGCCATCTCAGGTGGGGAATTGGTTTCCTCCTGCATAATAATGTCACCTTCAACTAGAGTTTTATCTCTCTTTTGCCCCACCGAGTTGCTAGGATTTTTCTTAAGGTTTGGGTGAAGTTTAAAGCATTCAGCCGTCGCATGCCCATGTGTTTTACAGTGATTACAGAATTCTGGCACTTTTTCAAATTCAACTTTCTGAAGGTATCCGAATGCTTTAGAACCAACCCAAACCTCCTTAGCATGTTTCTTAGTAATATCCACTTCAACTAATATCCTCGCCACAGATGGTCTTGTTCTTGAGGCCGTAGCTTGATCAATTTGCAGTGGACGGCCAAAAATAGAGCCAAGCGCAAATAAAACTTTAGTATTAAAGAAATGAAGTCTATGGTTGGGAAAAGAGATCCATATAGGAACAATGGAGGATTCTTCCCTAACATCAAAAAATGGAGTCCATTTCAAAACCCGCATTTGACAGTTCAAGATAAAATACGATCTACGCGCAAAAACACGGCTATAGTCAAGATCATTCGAGAGTTGTATTGCTACATGCTTAGAATCAAAAAGACCGACAGAATAAAATCCAGTTAGTTTTAAACTAGCGAAAAAGGCACGGATAGAGTCCAGATTTGGTCCAAGGAGACCAAACCCACTAGAGTAAATTGAAAGGGGGATGCAAGTTTTAGAACTTCTTCATCCGAAAGCAAAATAGCCGGCACACCATTAAAAGTAGACTGAGTTAACGAAGGAAGGGTATCACCTGTGGACGAACCAGTTAGAACTTCCTTAAAAGAGCGAGACTTTGGCGGAGAAGAAGCCCCCGCTTCCAAGCTAAAAAAACCTTTGTTCGGATTATGAACATTAGAGGCTACAGTAACCCAAGTCGTGGAGGACGGATCTCCCATCGGAAACGTCGAGCCCAAACAGGGCTAGACGAATAGAAGGACACCATCAAACCAGAGCTGAAGAGAAAGCCAAGGATCGAAGCAGGAGCTGGACGAAATCAGCGGAGGAACGAGGGAAACCTAAAATCGCCCGAGGCGGTGCTTAGGGTTTTTTCGAGAGGGTGAGCGACGAGTCGATAATAGAAGAAAATAATATATATATATCCTTCATCTCAGATTTCTTCTGACCCGTCGGAGAGGTGAAATCGAGGGGAGAAAAAAAAGTCGGATTAGGAGCAAAACTTCGAGTCCAAGGCCGATGCGAGTGCCTCGAAGACGTACCCACAGCAAGCCAGCACCATTCGAAAGAATGGGTACATAGTCATCAAGGCCAGACCCTGCAAGGTTGTTGAAGTCTCAACCTCTAAAACTAGTAAGCACGGCCATGCAAAATGCTATTTTGTGGCCATTGATATATTCAACAAAAAGAAGCTTAAGGATATTGTGCCATCATCTCACAACTGTGACGTCCCTCATGTCAATCGTACCGACTATCAACTAATTCATATTTCCAATGATGGTTTTGTGAGTCTGTTGACAGAAAGTGGTGAAACAAAGGATGATTTGAGGCTTCCCACTGATGAAAATCTTCTAAAGCAGATCACAAGTAGCTTTGCGGAAGGGAAGGACCTGGTGGTCTCTGTTATGTCTGCCATGGGAGAAGAGCAGATCTGCGCCCTGAAGGACATTGGGCCTAAATAATTCAAAGCAGATTTAAGAGCATTTTGCAAGGGCTTTGCTTTCTGTGGCAGCCATCTATCCGAGCATTTGCTTTCCCATTGTATCTTGCAGGTAATGAGGTTCTCATGCTGCTATGTGGATTCTGGATGAGGTTCAGAGAATTGCTTTATTCTCTTTTGTGCTGATATTTTAGGACCAACCAAACTTTTCATTGTGATTTTATCTTTCAAAAAAATTTATTAAAAAAAAGAGACTTGAATGTATGAGTTCGTACTATAAGTTCTTTTCAATATATATATATATATATATATATATATATATATATATTCATGCGTTTAGGTCAAGTTAATTTATAAATTTCCCTTGAGCGAGCAAGAGAAGAGTAGATTATGCACAATCCTAATGATCCCTCTTTAAATGTTGATGGAGCCGTTATTAACGGAGGGATATTAAATTCTAAATCTTTTATTACAGGAAGTGGAATACATAAAATAAAAAACAAGAGCAGAAAAGGTGGCAGAGGCTTTCAGTTGCTTGGTCTCTAGGGATTGCTGTTTTACTACGTCATCTTAAAATCCGATCACTTTCTTGAGATCCTTAGGGCATTGCACTCTCTTCTCTCTCACAGCGATAATCTGTTGGCCTCTTCTACTTGGAAAGTAATCCCGAAGCTGACTGCAAAATGAATACCGCAACCTTTTGATAAAGCTCTCTCTCTCTCTCTCTCTCTCTCTCTCTCTCTCTCTCTCTCCTCCTCCAGCCATCCTCCTCTCCCCTCCACTGTATCTCTCTTTTCTCTCTTCCTCAGAAAGGAGCTAGCCAGAGATTGGATTTCTTTGGTATCCGATTGATAGTTGCAGTGATAGGGAAAAAGGCTAGGTGAACGACTGCGACCAATAGAGAGAAGAGAGAGAGCATACTAAAGCTTGTTTTCTTAAGCTCACCAATTTTTGGAGATTGGTTCCTGTGTCGATCGACAGTTTCTCAAAAGCAAAGAGTCTCGAGGTAAGTAACCATCCCAAGGTGTATATGTGGCTATCTGGGCTGAGTGGCGAGTTGATCTACCTCCCTCTCTCTCTCTCTCTCTTCCTCTTCTCCCCACCCCCCACTCCTATCTCTTCCTTTCTGATCACGATAATTTCATCAACTCGAACTATCATTTAAGACCATGTGTTTTCATCAAATACTGGTATGATTACAAAGCTAGCGATCTCTTTCTTCATCTAGATTTTGATTATTTTAGCTCTCTCTCTCTCTCTCTCTCTCTCTCTCTCTCTCTCTCTCTCTCCTCTGAAACGTTAAGAATCAAGCAATATTAGTGTCAGCAATAGAAAGATTATTTAGTCTAGTATGCTGGATCTCATTTACCAAGACCTGCGACATGGAATTTTTCTTCTATAGGAAATGATAATATAGATGTAATGCATATTATGTAAATTACAGGGTGAAAGATTTTGTGTGCGTTATGGCCTAAAAAATCACTTCATTTCTTATTTTTCATAGTGACTAGGTAGGACAATATCAAAAAAGCCACTTCATTTCTTATTTTTCATAGTGACTCGGCAGGACAATATCTGTTTCTGTGACTTGATTCCTTGTTCCCTGAGGACTCTTTTGATTGCCTGTGTATAGAAATCTACTTTTGTGACGTTATGATATTTTTTAACACTCAGTTTGAGGATTAAAGATAAGTTATGCAGAAAGATTTTGCGGGTATTTATGGAGCTTAAGATCTATTATTTTGTTCCTAACACATGCAAAAGTCATGTAAGAACATACTAACCACACCATTTTCAATAACTTACTCCCTAACTACATGCAAAGAAATTAATGAGTCTAATAAAAGAAGATGCCAAGACCGAAAAAAATGTTTAGGGCTACAAGGATTGTGCATTGATTTGTAGTTTAATCATTTTTACTATGACCCGGACCATTAAGCCAACCAGCTTCCTGTGCTTAATTTTGGAGGGGCAAGCCTTTGATATTTGTTGATGACAATGTTAATATAGTGTGAAATTTGTTTTCAACTTGTTTATGAGAAATTTGAAAACCACCAGCCATTTACGATCCAAACTGAGTTGCCTTTGCCATTATATACTCTCTAAAGATAGATCTCAGACAAAGATTTAAACCCCTTTGAAAATAATGAAAATTTGATATATAGAGGTATACATAACCCGAAGGATGCCACTTGCATGGAAATCTATGTACATAACTTGCATTTGTTTTTCAACGGTCTTACTTTCACATCCTCTATTCTTTACACAGCACATTCTCTGAGAGAAATTGTCATTAATATTTTCTTATTATTATTATTTTTTAATATGTCGATGCATACAATTAAGTGTTAATAGCACAATGTTAGTTAAATTCAAAAGTTTAACACGAGATATAGGAAGCCATGTTCTCCCCATTAAACTCTTTGGGATGAAAATGATTTAGATTGAGCGATAATTTTTTCATGAGGATGATGCTTAATCTGAAATTTGAGGGCTCAATATGGTCATATGATTCTTCAATAATTTTAATAACTTAATAATTTAACTAGTTAAATTAAAACGAAGTCTTAAAACCATGTCATATACTACTGATTATTTTTTTTTTCCTTTTTACGTACATTCTCTCAAACATAAATTGTAGGCTCTGCTTGAACAATCTCAAAATATAATTTTATATTTTTTTGATGTATTTTATTGTTTTTATCTTGTGATTTTGATAAACCATTTGCAACAACTGAGAACGTGAAAGTACTTTATATATCATCAAGCAGAGAGGAAAGAAACACCTTCAGTTCTAGCATCATCATATATGCAGCGGACCACTACTTGGATATTTTAGAAAATTTTAGTTGTTTTGGTACAAAAGCATATATGATTATAAACTAAAATCATTGTATTGTATCTATAGCGTTATATCATTTAAATTGTCAACTATATTATTCTACTGAAGGCAACGGTACGAAAATATAGTTTTCTGTATATTCTAAGGTTTTCTTAAGCGACCTAAACTAATTTACAGAACTGCTCATTGAATCTTTTTTAATCCACGTAATCATTAATGCTATTATTCTAATTGATTATTAATCCACTAGAAAAAAAAAAATTTTCAGAATCCAGTAAAGTGCGCATGGATACAGCAGCACATGTTCCTCCCGGTTTTCGATTCCATCCGACCGACGAAGAGCTCGTAAATTACTATCTTCGTAAGAAAATTGCCTCGAGAAGAATAGATCTGAATGTGATAAAGGATGTTGATCTATATAAAATTGAGCCATCAGACCTTCAAGGTATTACATGTTTATAAACAACTAAAATAACCATGTATAACTTATCAGTATATTGATGCATACGTAAAAGATGTTGATCTATCTCTTAATGCTTCTTTACAAGATCTTTGTGAGCAGTATTGGAAAAATATTTTAGTGAAACAAAACAAATCATTCGCAACAATTTTCATACATATATAATACAGCAACATAGCCATAATAAACTTACTGTTTTTACATCAAATAGAAATTTGCAAGATTGGAGACGAAGAGCAGCATGACTGGTACTTCTTTAGTCATAAGGATAAAAAATATCCAACTGGAACTCGCACTAACAGAGCCACAACAACTGGATTTTGGAAGGCAACTGGGAGGGATAAACCAATTTACTCGAAACATAAATTGATTGGTATGAGGAAAACTCTGGTGTTCTACAAGGGTAGAGCACCAAATGGACAGAAGTCGGATTGGATAATGCATGAGTATCGACTTGAATCTGACGAAAATGGAACTCAACAGGTACTCCTACACCATTTTTTTTTCTTTATTTTGCAAAGAAACATATTCGAAGTTTTATTTTTATTACAATTCTTCTACCTGAATGGCATTTTTTGTCATTGGTATATGTTTTGTTACTTCGCTTTAATTTCCACAACCCTGCACACTGCTTTTCATCATATATAGAAATTTCTCAAACAATGGTAATATTAAAAATATTTACTCTAAATTCAAAAGATATAATGTTATTTTTAACTTTTATTTCCTTTTATTTAATTCTGAATCAAAAGTGAATCTAAGAGATGTCACTTCTTAATGGATAAACAGTATAAACCCCTAATAGAATAGAAAATATTTAACATAAGGCTTGATTTGGGATGGCTTTTTTAATGATTCTTAAGACAGCTTTTTAATAAAAATTTATTTATTTTTTTTAACTAGGCAACTACTTTACAACAACAACAACATCTAGCCTTTTTCCCACTACGTGGGGTCAGCTACATGAATCCTTTTTTTCTCCATTGTGTCCAATTAAAAGTCAAATTCTCGTTTAAATCTAATAAAGAAAGGTCATTCTTAATATTTTCTAACTTAAGAAATAATAAAAAAGTTGTCCCAAATGAACAACTACTTTACAACAACAACAACAACATCTAGCCTTTATCCCACTACGTGGGGTCAGCTACATAAATCCTTTTTTCTCCATTGTGTCCTATTAAAAGTCAAATTCTCGTTTAAATCTAATAAAGAAAGGTCATTCTTAATATTTTCTAACTTAAGAAACAATAAAAAAATTGTCACAAATGAAATCGAATTTCTTATAGACAAAAATGACCAACTTAAGCTGACTTCGACTTTGAGTTGAGCTTCCTTTTTATTTTTTATTTTTAACTTTCCTCTTAGTCCTATCTTTATCCGGTAAAACCAATCAATAATTTTTAGTTCAGAAAATTATTTTTAGTTTTCTCGTTTCTTCACAATCATTTTTACTCTCAAAAACATTATTTTTTCCAAATTTATCTTTTAAAATTATAGATCCTGACATTATTAGACATCTGTTGATTTCTTAATCTATTTCTTGTCTGGTAATAATTAATTATTTAAAAAATTACATATTAGCATTAAGATAATGATATATTTGGAATCAATAATGGTTACATGGAAAAAAAAAATTTTTGAAATTATATATGATGGATTAAGAAAATGCATATCTTGCAAAGGATTATAAGTTAAATTGTCATCAAACAGCTGGTCACAAACTAAAATTTGAACGGTAAAGAGATATATTTAATGTTAATGTTACTATAATTTTAAGATAATTACCCACGATATTAATTAACGAATGATAATCAACTTTTAATTATATATTTTTTAAATTAGGAAAATTCTGTAGCCGCCCATAAAATTTCACTGTTCCCCAATTTTAAATGTTTTAAGTATAATTTATATAACTTTGAATTTTATTCATACATATATAGAAATATGGCGAAATAATTATCTATATACTGTCATACAAACTAACGTTACTAATAATCAAAAATAATATTAGATTTTATAAATTTCTTACAGCATTTTATTTGCACTTTTATTAAAGAATGTGACCAATGCTTTTTTTTTTTGTTAGATTAGTTCAAACTTCCTGTTGGCAATACAATTTTTTTTCTTATTTTTTTATTTTTATTTGCTTTTTATTTTCCTGTTGGCATTACATTGAAATCTTTGCTACACTTAAGAAGTGTAGATGATGCATCTATTTTCTATTTTAAATATGGGGTGCAAATGATCATGCAAAATAGAACAAACAGTATAAATCACTTTGCTTCCACGTAAGCTGCATACAGGAATAATTAATTGGGCTTTGTAATGGAGAGTAATAGATATTAAAGAAAGTTGAAATTAATTCTTTCCATAACAGTAGTATATGGAATGATTCATTAGACCAGCATAGTAATGATGTATGCAAATCCATAAATTTAATTAAATTTTCTTTTAGTTCCATGCTTCACATAGTCACCATCAGAATTTTTGGGTATTTAAACAATTTTTATTACTCGTGCCATCATTTAAGAATATATTTTAGCCAGAATATTTTATGTTTCTTTACCCACTTAAACATTGTTTTTACTCATGTTTGTTGAATTTAAAAAGTTTTTTTTTTTTTTTTTGAATGAAAATATCTTTTGGTCATAATTTTATAAGAAAAGTAGTGTTTAAAAGGATTAATTACATAAGAAAAAATAACATTTTTTGATATTTTATATGATTGAAGGTTATATTTATAGTGACAAATTTTCTTTTGAAAATGTTCCCTAAAATTATTATTGAGCAATTATTTTAAATGATACATTATGATACTTCTAATTTCTAATAACAAGTAATTGTGATTTATCCAAGCTAACTATACTAATTGGAATATCGATCATTTCACTTTTTTAAATTTTATAATCATAAACTGTTTCGAAATTCGTTAACCTTAACTTTTCTGGTATTTGGCTACAGGATGAAGGTTGGGTTGTTTGTCGAGCATTCAAGAAGCGAGCTTTATCTATAAGGAAAGGAAATGAATTTGATCATGATGAGTCTACATGCTGGTATAATGAAAACATGTCATTAATGCAATCAACACTGTCTCAGTGGAATATGGATTACAATCATCTTCCTTACTCTTTCAAAGAACAAATGTTTCAAAGTTTCCACCCATATGATCCTCATCTCCACCTACCTCAATTGCATAGCCCCAAATTTCATGTAAATGTTGCATTGCCACTTCAGAAACAAGTAAACCATGATTGCCAAATTGAGAGAGTTTCTTTTCATAATTCTACCCCAAAAAATAGTCAAACTATGGATGATCAAGTAATTGACTGGAGGATTCTTGACAAATTTGTTGCATCTCAACTTAGTCAAGAGGGCATTTCAAAGGATTTAAATGATACAAATGCACAAGATAATCTTCCAATTCCTGGAAAAGAAGAAGGTGATCATTCTTCAGTGATGCATAACGCATAGGAAGTGCAGCGAAATTTAAACAAACTTAACTAGTACTATTGCATGCATATGAATGAATTTGTTATATGCAATAATTTTGTAAATAATTTGTGATGGTGGACCTCATTAGCTCATCTTCTAGTAGCTAATACCACCATAAATATAAATGACTTTTTAAGTGCGTGATAATTTGGAATAAACTTGATAAAGCATGTAAGGTGATGCATGGTATGCTCTTTGACAATGTTGCACTCAATATTTTATGTGTGTTTGCATATATATTGTGCATTCAAATTTTCTTTAATATACTTGAGTTCATCAAATTTATGTTTATGTTTTACCTCTACAATGGTTATGCGACACAAAATATATACTATATTAATTTTTATAAGAAAATGACATGCAGTAGAAATTTATTTGAATTTTAGCATTTCCATTTCTTTTATTGTGTAAAACCTACCTGTTCAAGACAAAGATTGTCAACTTGAATTCTTTATCATAATTAATTCTGCATTAATTAGCTACTTCTTACCCTCTGACATTGTTTAAAGGTCAAAATGGTGTAATTAAAATTTAACAAGTTGGGTTATTATTAGAGGTAAGTGACAAAGCTAACTATTTTAAAAAAGCTAACTCCACAGAGATGGCATTTGTCACCGTCATGCATTTAACAAGTAATGAATGAATGACCAGTGAAGATTGAGAGATGCAAATAACTGATTGTGGGAAAACGTAGCGCCATTCTCTATGAATTTGATTCAATATATATATTGGTTAAAACCCACCGACGGGCCTATGCGTTAATATATGGTAAAAATTACACAGTCCTTAAAGGGACTTCTAGCTCACTATTGCTCAAATGAGCTACAGACAAAAGCAAAAAGAAACCTAAGAGCCGGAGTTCCCTACTACGAAAGGATACAGAAAACCTAGTAACATTCTAATAATAAAAAACCAAAGGGAGAAGATAAACACAATCAGCGCCGCCCTACTACCAGCAAACGTACCCTGCACAAAACGAGCGCGGAGCTCCAAAAACCTGCAAAAGAGGTCTGCAAGGATACTAGAACAACAACTAAGCAAACATCTAAAATAAAAAAGAAAAGAGCAGCCAAAAGTTAAGAAATACCCCCTATAAGAGCCAAAACACAAAACCAGAAACCATCCAAAACAGAGGAACTACCCAACCAAAACAACACCCAGACCAAACAACGGTACCCAATAGCAGAGCAAAGGCCAACAACGAAAAAACCAAAGAAACAGAGAAACAAAGGAGCCCCCAGGCACCCAGCCAACAACAGAGAACTCACCAGCACAAAGATAACAAAACACCCCAACCCACACACAACCCTCACAACTCCCCCAACCACCAGCCAACACCTAGAAAACCCACAGAACACCGCCAAAAGAAAAAACAGAGAAGCACCAAACCCGACAATTAATGTCCAAGAACATAAGGAACACTATTTTTATCCAAATTAATTAATCCTTTGATATGCACAGTAAGATTATTTAAAGATAAATCAGTAATATCATTAAACTTACTCCCCAGCAAAGACATAGCCCTAGCAGCAGAATTAACCACCGGGGAAACCACATTATAATAACAGGTCATAGAATCCAGAAAAAACTTGATGTTCCTCCGGGTATAAAAGAAGGAGTGCCCACAACTACTCCTATCCACCTCAAACAAAGCTTTAAGGTCCACATTAAAATTGCATTCCATAATAATACTATGAATATCCAACCCAACACACAAACAGAGCCCATGCAAGACAGCCAGCAAGATACCCCCAAGCCTTTCAGTTTCTAAAGTTTTACCAGCAAAACCCATGACGTACTCCCCATTGTAATCTCTAATTAAGCCACCAATACAACAGTTGCTACCATCCAAAACAATATCAAAATTTAATTTAAAAACATTGGCATTGGGTTTAATTAAGCCACCAATATATATTATAGTAAAAACTTACAGAGGGGCCTACGCGTTAATATAAGTAAAAATAACAAGTCCTTAAGGAGACAATCAGCCCGTTACTGCTCGAAGAGCTACAATCAATCCAAAAGATAAAAAAAAACCTAAGGACCGATTATCCCCATCTATATGAAATACAAAACCGCCTAGATACACTCTAAGGCGGCACAAAAGAAGTGCCCAGAAAAAAAAAAGCTCTAAAGATCTCCAATCAGCCCAGACTTTCTTGCCAAAAACTCCCTCAAGGTGGAAGCAAAGCTGCAAAAACAACAGAAGAAAAACAAAAGGAAGAGGAAAGAAACAAGTAGCAAAATTACCATTCCTCATACAGAAAATCCCAGAACTCAGCTTCTTGAAAAACCTCCATAGCCTACCCAAACCAGACAGAATGAAAATGACTGCTAACCACCAGAAAAAGCTATGGGAAATAAGAAAAATTGTATCACAATGAACACAAAATTTAATAATCTTCCTTGCATTATACTTCAACGTACAGCATCCAGAATTGCTTGCTGCCGCAAACCAAAAAACATACAATGTTAGAGCAACCCCAAAACAGAGACCAACAGCCAGAACAAATACACACCCAGCAGAAGCGAACTAAACAGCCCAACCCATAAAGCACCACCCAGCAATGTCAGAAAAAACCTCAAAAAACACAAGATTAACCAGCTCTAATATAAGGAATATACTCAATTTATCCAGCTTCACCAGACGTCTTAAGAACGCAGGCAAATTAGAAGCACCAAATTCACTACTAGAAATACTCTGACAACCCAACTTTGCCAACCAATCAGCACACGCATTGCCTTCACGAAAAATATGGTTCATAGTGTAATTCAGATTATCAAGCATCAAATTGATCACTACAGGAAAATCACCCATTTCCGGCGGTCTTTTTGGGAAGAACCTCAGACTACCGACCGGATTGCTATATTGTCTAAATGTGATTATATTGTCAATTTTTTTATTTAAACTATACCCTAACTGTAAATAAAAAATTTTAATTATAAAAAGGGATCTATTTTATTTAAAATAAAAAATAATATTTAATATAAAATAAAAATTAACTAACTAATTAATTTTAAAATGAAGATTAATTAAATTGTTAATATAAGTTTTAATAATTTTTTTGTTAAATCATTTAATAGTAAATATTTTATTCATTTTATTAAATTTTTAATAGCCGTCGGAAACGTGTAAAAGCCGCTGGAAATTCCGCCGGAAAATTCCGTGGAGAAAAACCATCGGAAATGCGCCGGAAAGCCGCCGGAAATGTGACCGCCGGAAAGCTGCAGGAAAATTCCGCCGGAAATCAGTGATTTTCCTGTAGGGGATTTTACGAATCATATAGAAAAGCTCCGGGCTACCCTAAACCTTCTTTTGAATAATCTGAAATAAGTTTAAAGCATCAAAAAATATCAATGGCTCTTTGCTCTCAGCTCTCCCGAGGCGATTCCGAGGTGATTTCTAGGGTTTGCTGTTCTCCATGATTCTGGCCCTCCTAGCTGGTTTTTTCCAGTGATTTCGTTTCTCATCTTTAGATCCTCGTTCATAGATCCTTCTCTTGTCTCATTTTGGGGTTTCTTTGAGTTTTTTTATTGTGGGATTATGACGATTCCGTCATCATCACACCCTAAACCTTCGCTTATGGATGAGAAAACTCGGTCTTTTAAACAAGCCCTTGTTGGGGGATCTCTTTTTGCTCCGAAACTGAGTTTCGTTCATTCTTCGTATAAGGGTGTTCCAGCTTTGCTTTTTGAGGATAACATTATTGAGCAGCTTGCTGCTCCCTTTGCATTTAATTTAGTTGGCAAATTTATTTTAAGAAGGCCTAATCTCAAAGTGATTCGTAAGTTTTTTGTGAATCTCAAGCTTTTCGGTTCCTTTCATGTTCGATTACTTGATCAAAAGCATATTGTTATACAACTATCTAATGATTTAGATTATAGTCGGCTTTTTTCTCGTAGATCGTATTATATTCAAGCATGTCAAATGAGGTTGTTGAAATGGACCCCGGACTTTGATGTTAGGGAGGAATCCCCTATAGCTTCGATTTGGTTATCTTTTCCTAATTTGAGACTTCACTTTTTTAACCAGCAAATTTTATTTGGTTTGGCTTCGATCTTTGGCCGCCCCTTACAAACTGACCAAGCTACTGTTTCGATTTCTCAGCCATCCGTTGCTAGGGTTTTAGTAGAACTTGATGTTTCTAAAAAATACGCTAATGAAATTTGGATAGGTTTTGAAGTAAAAGGATATTTTCAAAAAGTTGAGTTCAAAAATTTACCCATCTTTTGTTCTTTTTGCAAAATGCATTGTCATGTAGTCAATGAATGTTTTAAAAAATTTCCCAATTTACGTGCTGATAAGAAATATGTTAAACAGTCTGATGAGGTTTGTTGTGATGAAAAGGAGAAGGAGAACTCGATGGAGCTTATTGGCGACCGCTCTTCCCCATTGGAAATGGTTCCTGGGAATATTCCAGCTTTGTCTAATCTAGTTATATTACATAATTGTCAAGAACAAGAAGTATCTAAAGTTAATTGTGTGACTATTGATTCTCTTAAGGTTGTTGATACTGAGAATGAAAATAATGTTGTTAATGTGTTAGAAAATATGAATACTTCTCTTGATTGCAATATAGCTATACCAGTACATAATGCTAATGATGTTATGGATTCGATTGTTGAGCAGGGAAACATTTCTGTATATCTGCATCTAATTGGGGAAGAAGATGAAAATACTAACTTGACTTTGGAGGAAGGAGAAATTAGCCCTACTTTTTTGCCTAAAGCAACTTCTGCTACCTTGAAGGATTCGGCCTTTAAGGTTAATGATAACTGGAGCGATGATGGTAAGTTTATGGAGGATGATGGCTCAAGTTTACACTTGGAAATTGCCAATGAGGGCAAAACTCCCAACCATTCTAATTATAATAGCGATGCTTTTACTGATACTGAGGATTTGTATATCAATGCTAAATGCCATGCTAGGGATGATAATGATAATAGCTATATTAAAGTTCTTAGTAAAAGTGGTAGGA